AAATAATTTTCAAAAAATCGCAATTTAAAAAATAAAAAGAAACATAACCTCAAAATAATATTTGAGGTTATGTTTTGTTATTTTGATTGTTTAAGTACTCAAAACCATCGCATATATATTATTTATTTATATGCAATAAATAATTAACAAAAAAAACACAATTTAAATAATAAAAAGAAACATAACCCCAAAAACTTTTTTGAGGTTATGTTATTTTTTACTTTTAGTGTTTTAGGTACTCAAAACCATCGCATATACATATATTATTTTTATTCGTTTTTGTTTTTTGGTAACGATTGTGTTCAGAATTGATTGATACAGACCTTAATAGGGAATGTAATGGAAAAAAATTAAAAAAAAACAAAATTAATTTCTCTAAGTTTTTTTTATTCCATGGATCCCATGTATCAGAAAAGTAAATAGCATTTTTCCTAATAGTTTTTATTTTTATTTATAACAAATTTTAGAATTAGCAAAAATTTATTGAATTTTCGTAAAGTTTTTTTATTAATAAATACAAAATTTGGAATTAGCAAAATGGATTAATGGTATTCGAAGCAAGTTCGGCTTTTGTGTTATTTTTTTTTTTTTTTTTTTTGGGAAAAAATGTGAAATTAACTTTTCTTTTTATACAACAAATAAAAAAAACAACAATAACAACAAAAAATGAGCTGAGCATTTTAATGTTAAGTACCAAAAAAAATAATTTTTTTTTGTTTACAAACCGAAAATAAAAATTGAAGCAAAAAAAATTTAAGACAAAAATAAAATTTTTGTTTCTTTTTTTATATATTTATATAAAAATAAATTAAAAAACACAATTGTTTCTAGTAAAATTATTATAATAAAAAATATATATAATATAAAAATATATTAATTTCTATGAAATTGTTTTTTGTTTAACAAACAAACAACACACACACAAGAAATTATATCATAATGTATATATTCCATAATTAATATATATAAAAAATAATTTAAAAATTTATTGTTTTTTTTTCATAATAAAAAAATAAAGACTAAAAAACAAATAACGTTTATAAATAATTATAAAAAAAAAGAAAACAATAAAAACGAAATTTATAGAAATTAAATAGCCCAGGCGAATACAATTTTTTTATATATAAAAACAAACACGCGAAAAAAATTACCAAAAAAAATAATATATTAAAACAATAAACATTTATATACATACACATATGATGCGATAAAAAATTAAAACCCAATGCATAGCATTTTTTTCTTTGCTATAAAACTTAAAATATAATATACTAAAATAAATTATATAAGTAATTTTTCGCTTTATATAACATTATTACAATAAAACGATTGTCATATACACATACATACACACATACATATATAATAAATTCTACTATATATATATATATATATATATTTATGCCGATATTTAAAAAAATCAAATAATGTCTTTAATACAACAAAAACTATCTACATGTATACATAATTGAAAAATAAAATAATTAAAAAAATAATTAATAATAATTAAATAAAACATTTATAAATATTGTTTAATCTCTCTATATATATACCCAGACAGACATACATCAAATATACTTTATTCATAATGAAAGAAAAATAAAAATAAATAAAAAACAAATCAGTCTCTATAAAAAAAATAAATCAATTATATTATAATTATTATTAAAAATTATTATTATTATATAAATAAAAGCATTATTTTATGTTCTAAACCCTCTAAAGTTGTTGGTGTTTTATTCAGCCCAATTGTCAAAAATAATTCTGTGCGGAATTTCTTTCTTCTCCGAATTACGCAATCGTAACGAAAAATTAAAGGGATAAAGGAGAAAAAAATAGGCATCATAAGAAAGTTCGATTTGTGTTTTTCCTCTCAAAATATCTCACAAACAAAATCGAAGAGAGATAAAAAATGTAAGTATAGTTTTTCAAATATAAATCGAAATATAAATAAAAGAATTTATGTATGTCGAAGACAAATAAAACCCAATTGCAGCATTTAGTGTAAGTGATGGAGTTACATCCTGATATTTCACGCTTACTCGGTTTTGGAAAAAAACGAAAAATGACCTATATTCAATTGGACCACCAAATAAGTGCATCGCCGAATGTGAAAAGGTTTAGTACTAATTTTTTTCACATTCATTTGCATAACATAATCCATTCATTCTTCAAAATTACTTTAAATTGGTTTGGGCTGACCAAAAAAATATGTAAGGCAAAAAACTGTACAGAATTTAAAATACAAAACAGGAACAGGAGACGGCCCAAACAAGGAGCAAAAATTATCAAGCACCGAAGAAGCTATCTATAATCTTATTGAAATGAAATCGTCTGTAGAGGGTGTTGCAGTAAACTCTGTTGGTCTTGACGGTGATGAAGAGACGCGGCGAATTTTTTACGAATATTAAAGTACTACCTGGGAAGAAACAAGATCAAATGAGCATCAATTATTAAGGGCAACTGCAGCCAATATAACCTTAAAACCGCCGAGAAAACTCCAAAACCACTACCTACCTACCCTAATAATAAAATCTTAACTAGAAATTTGAGCTGAGAATTTTCTGTGAATTTTTAAAGCCATAAGGGTAAATTAAAAAGCCATAAGGTTGCCTTAAAAAGCTCTATTTTGGATAACTTACTAGGAATTTAAAAATGATTTTTTTAGGAAATTTCCTGCCATAGAAAAAACACAAAAAAACGTTAGTAGTCCCCCTCTTCATTGATAACCCAAAATCTATTAATAACGTTACCCAGTCAGCGAAAGTCAGAGCTGTCTTTTCTCAAGTTCAATGTCAAAACCAGTAAGGAAAGTTCAAAAGTCGGACGGGGCGGACTATATGATACCCTTCTCCACTTTCGGTATATACAAGAGATAATAATGTGTAGAAGATGTGATAGAAGAGACATAGAATCTTTGGATAACCATTGACATGGAATCGGGTGCAAAACCAAATGAAATCTGAACCGATTTCAACAAAAATTTTACATACATCAAACTGGACTTAATTCAGTATGCTTAGCAAAATTTGATCTCAATCGAACTAATATTGGGAGTTTGGTGCACCATTTACGAACGTTACACCGGATTTCGTTAACCCAGTGGATTTTATTTGTCAATTTCATTGTATACATGTCAAATGAAAGGCCCAGAAAGACCATCAAAAATTGTCCCAGAAAGTCCCCCTTAAAAAAGACCAGAAAATCCCTCAAAAAATATTCTTCACAAAGTCGACGCTTATGGGACTGAAAGTTCTTCAAAAATATTCTTTAATAAAAAGTCCACGCTTAGGGCTCAGAAAGTCCCTCATACAGTCTTCTTTAAGAAGTCCAAGCATAGGACTCAGAAAGTCCCCAAGAGTATTTTTAAAAAAAGTCCAGAAATTCCCTCAAAAAATATTCTTTCAAAAGTCCATGCTTAGTCCATGAAAGGCCCTCAAAAATATTCCTTAAATATTCCACGTTTAGGGCTCAGAAAGTTCCTCAAAAAATATTCATAATAAAAATATTATTTAAAAGTCCTCGTTTATAGCCAAGAAATTCCCTCAAAAACTATTCTTTAAATACTTCACGCTTAGGGCTCAGAAAGTCTCACAAAAAATCTTATTTAAAAAGTCCACGATTGTGGCCCTGAAAACGTTTACAATTGTCAAAATAATTTTTAAAAACCTACGCTCAAAAATAATCTTTACAATATCAAATATTACAATTGTCAAAAAATATTTCTTTTAAAATATCACTCTTCTAATTGTCAAAATATTCCTTCAAAATATATTTGTCAAAATCCCTATCGAAATTCCACTATATTAAATCCAATATTTTTTTTTTATTAATATCCTTTAGAAAAATATACAACAAATACTTGGTATTCATTACATATAACTGCCTTTTCCTCCATCTCACATTCCCATCCCTGTTCGAACAGCTGTTGCCGTTGTAATACATCCACCAGATATGGCAACACTCCATCATTGTTGTCATGTTTATTTGCATTGGGGAGAGATAGAGAGAGTTTTGTGAATTATTTATATTTTTGTTGAGCAGCAGAAAGTCAGGAAGTCGCACAAAAACTTTTCTACGAGTGAAAAAATTTTGTAATAAAACAATTCTAATTTAATAAATGTAAAAAAATCAAGTGAAATTTAATAATAAAACAGAGCAACGAATGTCTTAAGAATGTTGAAATATTTCAAAAAACAAAGAGGTAAGCAAGTAAGACGAATTTTGTTTTCATCAATAACGGGATAAGAAAACAGAAAAATCTGCGACGTTGACAGAGCAAAAATGGTCATGCTGCTGCTATTACTTCTATATTGTCATGGTGGAGCCTGACAGACCAACTTCTTCTATTTGGGGCTCCAAAGGCAAGATTAAGCAAGATGGGGCGGTTAAGTATTTCAAAGATATGATTTTTGAACAATCATGACTATTTTTTATTGCTAGTCATTAAAACAAGAGAAAAAAGAAGTGATTTGTTATTTATTGATGAAATTTCTCCGGAATTTTATAAATAATAGTTATGTGACAAAATATTAATAATTAATAGTGTCCAATTAAACAAGTCCCAGTGTCATCAACATTTGAACCTAAAAAAATCTCGGCTTCACATCAATTGAAGCCGCTGTTATTTTTAATATTTGTTCTCAACACTTTCTTTGCCCACCAACAACAATAGGTGTGTGTTTGAAATTATTATTTAAACAGAAAAAGCAACAACAACATCAAAACTAACAAAAACAACATTCCCAAAACAAAACAAAAATTTCGAATTCTTTAGCTGTATGTTGAATATTTTTTGTTGATTCTCTTTTGCTTCTTCTTTTTTGTTTATAGGTCGCCTCAATACCACTAATGAAAATGACCAAAATTACAAAAACAACAATAACGATGTTGTTGCTGTGGTCGATCAAGTTGATAGCGGTTATAATGCTGGCCACGACAACAGCGGCGGCGGCAGCGGCAGTGGTGGCATGGTCGGTGGAATTTTTACACCTGAAGATATGACTGAAGCATCAGCGGCAGAGGCCGCTGCAAAACGTCATTCATTACGATCAACATCAAGTTTTTGCGATGAAGTTTTTCTCGAGGAACTCACCAATATGGGTCTGGGTCTGACGTCAATGTACACATCTGTAAGTGGCAGTAACTTTGGTTGCACGCCAATCTCCGACAGTGATGATGCTCTCAGTTATGGTGCTTTAAGTTTAGGTGCACTTAGTAGTAATGCTGGTGGTGGTGTTGGCTCCTCATCATCGGCACACAATAGTATAACGATGACAACAACAAATCCAACAGCGGCTGTGAATTCAATTGTGGGATTTGATGATGGTAAGTCCATTTTGTTGTTGTTGGTGTTTTGTAATCAACTAGTTGTAAGTTAATAAAAAGACTTGTGTGCCTTTTGGTGAGTTAGAATGAACTAACTTCTTTATTCACATCAAAAACTTATTCTACTTAAACTAAACAAATCAAAATTGCTGACAATACGCTGACACTACACTTCCCATGGTCACGCCACCAGACGTAACACGACTCCATGCTAAGCACACAACAGTCAACCAAGCAAAGCTCACAAAGGCAACATTGTTGCCTGTTAGTTTGGCAGGGATGTGCTAACTACCCCCTCACTTAAGTGAAGGCCGTCCTCGGTCTTCTTTATAGCCATTGCGACGGCAGATTTAAAATCTCGCTGTTCTCTCTTCTTCACCCTACGCTTAATGAGGCACAATATGGAATAGAGTAATCCGATACTCATAAAAACAACACAACCAACTAATATTGGCCGCACTTTTGCATCTCTTTCAAGTTCGCCAATATATTGTAAGTTTTGCAAGTTCATCTCATGGACAGATGATAAACTTAAAATTTCGCTGTGGTTGTTTATAATAATTGAGGGAAATGATGGTGTTCCTGGTTTCCGCATATCAATGTTGTTTCTATTTACGAACAGCGTACCATTGACAGTCACATTCTTTTCAAAAGTTATTAGGAATGTGCCGTTTATGTTTCTTACATTTTCGGTTGCTTCTTTCACTTCTGCAATAGCGTCATTCACAATGACAATTCCATCATCGATTTCTGCCACTTTTTCAAGATTATTGCTTTGCGTATTACAGTGTGCTGATTTACCCGATATGAGTTGTTGAGCGCAGGTTGACTCTGGCATCAGTTGACAATAGGTTGAAGATATTGCGTGCTTGCAATCTGTTGCTGAATAAGTCTTTCCTTCACAGTCTACCACAGTGTTGGTGTCAGCGAATTGAATAATTTTATTGAAGTGGGGAACTGGGAATAAAGAAATTTTCTGACATGTTCGTATTGGAATGGGATATCTAATGATAAAATGCAAACAAAATTCATTTGATATTACTTTTACTTTAGACAAATACATTAGTTCTGATATGGTAAAATCTGTGTATTGCTCATTGATCTGATTTTTTATAAAAAATTTTAAATCATCCTGGTCCAAAACTGTGGGATTTATAATATTGATTTTAGCCAAAGTTACAGATAAAATTATATTTTGTAATTCCATAAGCAGCATTCTGTTTCTAGCCATTAAAATTTCAAAAAGTTTAACAGTATCAATTTGTTCCTTTCGTTCGGTATTTAAGATTGTGTTTACTGCATTGGTCAACTTTTCTATTTGGATCTGTATTTTCGTATTTATTTCTATTTGTCTGTTGTTGGAATCTACGAGTTGTTTCTCGACAAATTTGACATCCTCCCAGTCATCGGCATCTGGTGTACCGGCAATAACCTTCAGTGCTGTGCCTATAAGATTGATGCTTCTCGCATGCCGATGATGTACGGTGAGTGTTGTTAAAAGAGTATCAATATGCAATACATCGGCCTCCAATATCTTTTTAACATGCGTCTGAGGGAAGATCTGTATTGCGTTTTTTGTATCGTCTAATATCTCGGAATACGTTGTAAGGTTTGTCGTATGTCTTAAGTACCCATATTTGTTCCATATAATCGCGTTCCCGTCCAAAATTGGGATATAATCGGAATGCGAATAATCAATAATCTTTGCAAATGTGAGGTTTATCATAAGAAGCAATTGTAGTGTTAGCCTGCGTAAAGAAAAATAAAAGGTAGACGAAGAAACATTTAGACATCTTATTGAAAGGATTATCTTAGGTTGTCCTTATGGACCACCCTCCCCTTTATTAGGACAGTTGTCCCCATGTCTGCTTCAACAGTAGCTTCTTCATAAAGTGGGGTCATTTTATTTCCAAGTCTACGATTATTCTTAACAAAGACTTTGTCTCCCACGTTATAAACTTTGTCATAACGACTTTTGTTGAAGTATTGTAACTGCCTGTTTTGCGCGTTACAGATTCGCTCTTTAATCTTTTCTCTTACTTCAGAAGGTGTAGAATGTATCGTATCAATAGGTCTCTCATTCGTGACAGAATGAATTGTCCGGTTATATTCTATGGTCGATTGTAAGATGAGTTCGACAGTGTCATCGATCTTCCTTTCTATTTTTAGGCATCTTGCGATTTCGGCAAGAGTGCTGTGAAATCTCTCTACCTGCCCGTTTGATGTGCTGTGTAGAGGAGGTGAATTGACAATTTCGACATTAAACCTGTTTTTCAGAATTGATCTGATAGTCTCGGAGTTGAAAGACCTCTCATTGTCACAATAGACAATTTTGGTGTTTGGAAAAATATTCATTAATTGGAGAATCGGTTCTCTTATGTCCAGAATTGTTCTGGTGGCTATTGGCTGTACCACTGCGAATTTTGAGAATTTATCCACGCAAGTTAAGAAATGTTTTTTATCAGTTGAATAAATGTCAATATGTAGAATTTCACCGGCATATGAAGGAACTATTGTCTCTCCTATAACATGTTTCTCTGGGTGTCGATTGTATTTAGCTTTTGAACAGGTTTTGCAGTTTGCAACAACCTCATTCGCTATTTTTACCATTTTGGGGAAATAGTATTCCGAAAGGATTTGTTTTACGTTCTCTTGAGCTGCCCGATGAGCTCTATTGTGTTCACTTACAACAATTTCTCTCTGATCGCATTGATTGAAGATGTCAGCGACAAATTTACTACAAAATCTGAACTTTGTTGAAGGAAACATTTTAATCAAATCATGTTGAATGTGAGCCAACACAGGTAGGTCGCAATGAATGGCATTTACTACTTCAGTATTGACTGCATCAACAAGTTTAGCCAGTATTTCGTTTTTATCCCCGAATTCTATGATATGTCTCGTTTTGTTTCCGAAAAGTATAAAATTTCGAGTGGCGGGAAATTCTGCCTCTTCCAGAATGATTTGGTTGCGGAAACAATTGACCGGTTTGTCTGAGCTTTCCATAGTGTAGGTGTATGACTCCTCACTATGAACTGTTGCCATGTCTGACGAATTTTCGTTCTCTAATGCATAGACGACTTGCCTTGATAGCGCATCTGCAACTTGATTTTCTTTTCCTGGTTTATAATATAAGTTTGCATTATGTTCATCTATAAAAGCTTTCCAGCGCTTAATTTGTGCATTAGGATTACGGTCCGAAACTGAATATGTTAACGGTTGGTGGTCAGTGAAGATGTTAAGAGTCTTCACACCATAAAGGTAATGCCTTAGAGTTTTTAGAGCCCAGACTATTCCTAGAAGTTCCCTTTCGTTTGTGGCGAGATTCAACTCCTTATCCGATAACGCTCTAGAAATCATAGTGATTGGTCTTCCCTCTTGGGATAGAACAGCACCTAGACCATGCCCTGATGCATCAGTAGTAAGGTCGAATGCTTTTTTATAGTCAGGGTACATCAACAGGACGTCTTCTGAACATAGAATATTTTTTAATTTGTAAAATGCATCCAGTTGGGAGGCATTAAGATTGATGATAACCTTTTTGGATTTGGTTGCAGGAATTTTTCCGTTTTCTCCTTTTAAATTATCGGTTAAAGGTTTTGCAATTTTGGCAAAGTCCCTTATAAAACATCGGTAATAGTTCGCTAGCCCAAGAAATGATCTCAAAGCGAACAACGTCGTTGGTTCTGGGAAATTTTGTATGGCACTTATCTTTGATGGTGCCGTTTTTATACCTTCTTTTGATACGACAAAGCCAAGGTATTCAACTTCGGATTTAAAAAAAATTTGACTTTTCAATAGAGACTCTCATGTTTGCATCGAGCAGTTTCCTAAGAACACAGTCGAAATGTTTGCATTGATTTGTTTTAATAGGTCTAAGCCCACAATAGCGTCAAATGTTGTTAAAGTTGGCAAAATGAAAAATGTAGAGTTCATGCCGAATAAATTTACAAAACATTTTTTGTTTAATAGGTGTTTGTCCATTGACAGAGTGAACCGAGAAAGGAGTACTTACAGGAATTATATGTTGAAAGGATTAATAATTTCCTCATTTTAGTCTCGGCGGAAATAAAATAAACATATTTCAGCTAACAAACACGGATAAAATTAAACAAAGAAAAATCTCCAACTAATTAAAAATTAAACAAAAAATACAAATAAAAAATAAAACAAACTGCCTAAAAGAAAAGCAAAAAAGAAGTCATTTGTCATGTCAAAGTGGTAGAAGGGAGAGGCAGTTGGAAAAAAGTTTAATAGTTGTGCAAGAATTTACAAAGAAACAAACCAACAACAACGAAATGGAAGTGTTTCTCCTATGGAAATGGACGACAATTTTCTTGATAGATCGTCGACTTTTTTGTCGACTTCTGATTTATGTGTCTGAATCGCTGCACGTACAGCGGATTCTATCAATTTTGAAATTTCGTCCGCGTTCATAATATCTTTTTTTATAGAAAAGTTGGTATAACACAATCTTAATCACTTCACAGAAATTGAAATATTTTAAATACGCACTATACGAAGTAAAAAAAAAAAAATCTCTTGATATTTTCACCTGTTTTTGGACACACAATTTTTCGACAAAAATTTTTTTAAATTCAATGAGTAATACACTTATAGGAGGTGATGCAAATGTGGTATACCCATTTGTTTTTAGATTGCCAAATTTTTATTTTTTATCCGATTAAATTGAAATTTTGCACTTAACATGCTACATGTGTTGTCTTTCCATGTATCAATTTGAAAATAATATTATTCTAACAATTTAAGAGATACTTGAGAAAATATTTGAAATCCCATAAAAATTGATTTTAAAAAAGTGCAGGTAATGTGGTATACCACATGATGTTAATGTGGTATAGTATAATTTTCACTTCCAATTGATATCTTATATAATTTATTGTTTTTAATGAATGCGAATTAGCTCGAGATTTATGCCTGTTAAGATTTTTAACGGATACGTTGAGTGCAACTTTAATTTTTATTATATAATAATGTCTACACATGGCAATATTTAATTGTTGTATGGAGAAGTTGTTAAAACTCATAGCCTTTGTTTTTCATCCTTGTGATTCATGGTCGACTCTCGTAGAGTACAAATGTTTCACATAGTAATGAGATTTTGTCTAGTGCTGGCCTTTTTTCATGCAGAATCAAGGTATACCACATTACCTACACTTGTGTTTACTGAAGAAATGTCTAGTTTTTTTTTCAAATTGGTGATTATGTGGTGCTATCGCGCATATTATTTGATTTTTAGTTCATACTGATTATTTTAATGCGTTAGTAATAACGATTAAAGTACATCCGTAAAACAAAAAATTATTTTTAAACTTCAACCGAAAAAAAGTCAATTTCACGAAAAATTTTATTTTTGGTACTGATTCTCAACGCGATTTAAATAAATTAAACAGGTCATTGCTATCTTATTTTTTTGAGAACAGCAAACTATAGAACATGTTTCAGTTATTCTAAAATTTTCAGTTTACAAAAAAAAGTGACTATACCACATTACCAACCTATACCACATTTGCATCACTTCCACTACATGACTTTGTTTTATATTATAATATGTTAGTGGATCCTTAGAGCTTCTTAGGGCGTCTTTTCTAGAGTGTAGAGCTTATCCCTTTTGCGTTAGTTGGACGACTTCATACAAAATAGATCCTCCGTTGGGTAGTTTTCGTTCTGGTTTTTGTGTAGACCTTATTCCTTTTGTGCGAGTTGGACGACTTGAGTAGTTTTTGTTCTTGTTTTTGTGCTGAGCTTATTCCTTTTGTGCGAGTTGGACGACTTGGGTTGGGTCAGAGATTACTTTTTTCAAAGTAAATCCTTTAAATAAACCCGGTTGGGCGCCAGTTAATAAAAAGACTTGTGTGCCTTTTGGTGAGTTAGAATGAACTAACTTCTTTATTCACATCAAAAACTTATTCTACTTAAACTAAACAAATCAAAATTGCTGACAATACGCTGACACTACACTTCCCATGGTCACGCCACCAGACGTAACACGACTCCATGCTAAGCACACAACAGTCAACCAAGCAAAGCTCACAAAGGCAACATTGTTGCCTGTTAGTTTGGCAGGGATGTGCTAACTTGTATATCCAACCATACATATAAATGTTTACTTTCAGTTGACGATTATTTCATTATTAATTTTTTTGATATTATTGATAATTAAAAATTCCCATTCGTGATATGAAAAAAATATGAATAAATTACAATGATTATTAGAGGAGGGTGACGGGGTTTTATGAGTTGTTTGCTGAAAAATCCACGAATATGGAAAATATTTACATACCTATAAAAATTCGCATCAATAATTGACAAAGTATTTTTTATGATATTCTTATTAAAAAGTTCGGCAATCATGTCTACAAAAATTGTCCCCAAACAAACATACAGAAGATTATTTCATTTTAAATCGCTTCTCTATTCAAAATATAGTAAAAAAGGCCCACGATTATTTCAGTATACCTCAAAATACATCATCTTTGGTGTTCTGAAAGTCAAAATTTGTATACCCTTGACCACAGGGTATTATGTCTTTGTGCATATATTTGCAACAGGCAGAAGGAAACGAGATTTTGAGTATATGCATAGAATCACTTTCTGAGTCGATGTATGCATGCACTGAATTGAGCCTCGAATGGTATGTTCTATGATTCGTGAATGTCGGTTCAGATTTAGCTCCAATATATATTTTCGTCCGATTTTATGTAAATTGTGTACCAAGGTCCCTATATTTCTTAGAACATAGAATGATGTGTGCTAATATTCGTGAATATCGGTTAAGATTTAGATATAGCTCCTATATATATATATATATATATATCCGTCCGATTTTATGTAAATAGTGTACCAGAGTCCCTATATTTCTTTCAATTTGCACGAAATTCGGCGTAGCGTACTGAATTTATTGAAATTGTTTCAGATTTGGATATAGCTCCCATACATAGTTTAGTCCGATTTTAGGTAATAGACAAACTTTTGCACAGCGTACTGAATTAAGTCCAGATTGATTTCTATGAAGTTTTGTTGAAATCGGTTCAGATTAAGATATAGCTCCCATATATATTTTCGTCCGATGTATAGCAAATGGTGCACAAAACTCCCAAGGTTTGTCCGATTACGACAAATTTTTGCATAGCGTACTGAATTCAGCCCGGTTTGATATCTGTGAAGGTTTATTGAAATCGTTTCAGGTTTAGATATAGCTCCCATATATATTTTCGTCCGATTTATAGCAAATGGTGCACAAAACTCCTAATATTTGTCCGGTTCAGACAAACTTTTGCACAGCGTACTGAATTAAGTCCAGATGGATTTCAAAGAAGTTTTTTTGAAATCGGATCAGATTTAGATATATGTGCTCCAAACTCCCAATATTAGTTCGATTAAGGCAGCGTACTGAATTAAGTCCAGTTTGACGTCTGTGAAGTTTTTTTTTTCAAATCGGTTCAGATTTAGATATAGCTCCCATACATAATTTTGCTGGATTTCATACAAATGTCGCACCAAAAAATCCAAGTTCAACATGCAATTTTTCATTGATTTCAGAATGTTATGTTATTTATTGATCCTAATATCTATGTGGATCACAATTTTTTTCACCCGATTCCATTTCAATGGTCTTCCAAAGATGCTATGTCCCTTCTATCGACAGGATATTGTACACATTATCATCTCTTGTATGTACCCAAAGCGGTTAAGGGTTTCATATAGTTGACTCCGTCCGACTTATCATCTTCTTTGCTGGTTTCCTTTAAAAAACAAGAATTAATTGTTGTCCAGAAAGTCTTTAACAGGAATTTCCATTTTTGGTCCTGAAAGTCCTTAAAAAGAATTTTAAAAATACACTTAAAAATATTTTAATGTTTGGTCCTTAATGTCCTCAATAAAAATTATTCTTAAAAAAAATGTGTGGTCCTGAAAGTCCTCAACAGGCATTTCCATTTGTTGTCCTAAAAGTCCTTAAAAAGAACTTCAATTTGTAATCCTAACTGCCCTTCATAATAATGTCCATTTCAGGCCTTGTGAGTCCTTAATAGGAATTTTCATTTTTGGTCCTGAAAGTCCTTAATAAGAATTTCCATTTGTGGTCCTAAAAGTCCTTCATAATAATGCCTATTTGTGGTCCTGTACATATTTTCATTTGTGATTCTGAAAATCATTTAAATCTTCCTCAGCATCAAATTTAAAACCATTCCAATTGAATATAGATTAATCGCAGTTGACCAATCCCGACCTACTATGGCATCGTTCAAATTGTAATAATTTAAAATTTGCTCGTGTCAATTTAATGGGCCGATATGAACGAGAGTTTGAATCACCCGCTGATGCTTTGCATAAAACACCGCAAGTAATTGGCAATTGTCGGCCCCTAGCGGTAATCGATAAATCAATGCTGTGGATAAATCCATACTACTGGCAGGTCCACAAAAGTTATTATTTAAAAAATCCACGATTCCCGAAGTTTTTCAAAAAATATTCTCTAAAAAATCAACTCTTCTGGCAGGTGAATATTTCGTTTTTAATACTCACTCTTTAGCCAGGTCCTCAAAAAATAGTCCTTAAAAATCCACACTTCTGGAAGGTCGTCAAAAAATGTATATTAAACAAATCCATGCTTCCAAAAAATTATCTTTAACAAATCCATACATCTACCAGATCCTCAAAAAATTATCCATAAAAAATCAATGCTTTTTTTATTCTTTAGAAAACCCCATGCTTCTAGCAGGTCCTCTAAAAATATTCTTAAAACTTTTGGAATAGATTTTTAACTAACATTTGTTCTTTTCTTTCTATTTTCAGATCTTTTTAAATATCATTCCCGTTTATCGATGACCCTAACATCCATTGTTAATGAACCCAATTGCCTCAGCTATTTTGTTCAATATTTGGATAGGAAAAATGCTTTGGCGTTTATAAAATTTTATTTGGATACGAAAAATTTTAAAAATGCTGCTTTGGCACAATTGCGAAAGGAGCTCAAAATGAAAATGATAGCACAACAAATACCCGAAGAGGGTGAAACGACAACGACAACGGATGTCACAAAACAAATTACGGCAATAAATGCAAGCTCAAATGATACCGATGATGATCAGCTGCAATGCAAACAGCAGCAGCAACAACGACAACAAGCAGGAGATATTACCACGGCCAGCAGTGGTAGACATATCAATGACATGAAATGCAGTGGAGTAGTGCACAAGCCAGCAACTACAACAAATGATAATAGTCTCCATGATAATGATGGTGATATCCCTGATGATGGCGAAGTAGAAGAAGATATTACCGATAACAGTCATGTACCTGAATTGAAAACTTTGTGTGATTTAACAATGCGCAAACCCCTAACCGATGATGAAAAATCACAAATCTATGCTGAAACCAATAAGCATATGCTATTTAAAAACATCAACCACAACCACCACGATAGTCGACATAAACTCAAAGCTTCCTCCGAATTATCCTTGTGCAGTTTGATGAGTAATTTATCGGAAATAAGTGAGAATGCCATTATATCTGTGGCCAGTGTCAAAGATGCTTTAGCAATTTATAAGAAATATTTAATACAAGATGCCAAGCAACGTATCGATTTGCCAGTGGATATATTATCCAAAATATCTTTGATTATATGTAAAAAGGAGGAGCCGAGGGGTGATGATGAAGCTGCAACTTCCATAACCGCCGATTGTTTTCTAGAGGCCCAGGAATATGTCTTCAATAAATTGGAAAAGGAATATCTCAATGATTATTTGCAAAGTACCTACTATGCAAAATATTGTGTCGATCTCATCGAACAGCAGTGTTTGAATGTCAATGATATACTACACAGTGAGGTAACCCTGTTCTATTTTATGGAATATCTGGAACAGCACAAGGAAAGAGATTGTTTGGACTTTTGGTCAACAGCCATTAACTATCGCAAAAGTTATCTCAGCCATGATGCGGGATATTTAAATGAAAAAGAGGCTCAATCCGATGCCATGATAATCTATGAGAAATTCTTCTCATTGCAAAATGAAACCAAACTATGGTCTTCAAATAAATTGAGAGGTCATGTTGAGGCTTCCATTTGTACCGATGGCATGGTATATCACTGTTTCGATTTACCGCTCAAAGTGGCGGCCAAATATTTGGAACGTAAATATTTAAAATCATTTCTCAAATCTTCGCTATTCTCCAATTACTTGAATGAACTGAAATCAAAAATTCAAGATGACACTACAACAGAACCAAAGGAGGGTCTATTGAAGATTCCATCTAAAATTGCATTGCGTAGATGTGTCAGTGATAAGACCTCAAATCGGCATCGTAAAACCTTATCCGATTGTACGTTAGATAGCAAAATAACAATATCTCAGCATAACACCCTATTGGCCTCAATGGATAATCATTATCATAGTAATCATCCAACTCCTCCGCATACCCATCAACAACATGGCTTATCCGCCTCTTCCTCAACATCAAATTTAAAACAATTCCAATTGAATATTGACTCATCGCAGTTGACCAATCCCGATCTACTATGGCATCGTTCAAATTGTAATAATTTAAAATTTGGTCGTGTCAATTCATTGGGCCGTTATGAACGAGATTTTGAATCACCCGCTGATGCTTTGCATAAAACACCGCATAGTAGCCTCACAAGCAATTGGCATTTGCCAGCGCTTAGCGGTAATCGTCTGAAGAATGCTATGCGTAAATTGGTCAACTTACCGGAGGATAATGTACAAGAAGAAATTGCCTGGCAAGTGGCTGAGATGATTGTCAAAGATGTTACAAGTGTTACTATGGGAACGTCAGCAGCAGCTGTTGCTGGCGAAGCTGTGAATCAAACAAATACGAAATCATCAAATGTGGATACGACAAAAATGCACAAAGTAGTACAGTAAGTTTTTTTTTATTTTAAGTTTACTTTTTTATATACATATATATATTTTTGTTATTTGTTTTTAATTTGTTGTAAACAATTGTATACAAATATCTCGCTCTCTATTTTAATTTGGAATCTCTTAAAACATTTGAAAAATGTTTTTTTTTTGTTTTTTGATAAAATTATTTATAATTTTTCAACCACTACCCATGTACCCAAAAAAGATCTGCACAAAATACAAGTAATGAATAATCTCAAAATTTCCTAGGAAAATATTTAACATTGGGAATGAAAAGATCGGAGTCACATAAGGAAAAACGATAATTTGTAGTTTTCTACTAAAGTTCCAAGTCGTTAAATGAACAACCCCATATAGCTCCCATATATATTTTAGTCCGATTTTAAGTAAATGGTGCACCAAAGATCAATATTTATGGCGATTGGCACAAAATTTTGCTCAGCGTAGTGAATTATTGGATAACCCAACGTTAGGTCGATCGACCCTAAATTTTGCATAGTGTACTGAATTAGGTCCAGATTGATGTATGCGAAGTTTTGTTGAAATCGGTTCAAATTTAGATGTAGCTCCGATTTGACCCCCCTTAAAACTGGTAATCATACCAAAGAGTTAGCTCCAATGATCTGCCTCGGTCAAAAGGAAAATGGTCTTGAGATGATGGTCGAGCAGCAGACATTGATACCTCTTGGTCCGACTATCGTCTTCTCATTGGTGGTCGTCCCACTGTAGGCGAAGTGAGAATTCTTACGACTACGAGTTCTTTTAAGGCCTTGTTTGGATAGTCTATTTCGTATTTCCTCACTATCTTAAGGTGTTTCCCAATTAATAGGAATTCTTTTTCAGTTATAGAGTTCGAGTTTTTGTCTACGTATTATAGGCAACAACGGATTTCGCTTCGATTTGCCTTCCTTTCCAGTGCTTCTTTAGTTTATCCACTTTTTGTGGTGCTTGACAACGACGTTTCCAAAGAAGTCATTGTGATTCCTAACGCGTCTCCTTTTTCCGATTTGCAACGGTACGCAAAGTCGGAATTCTTAAGACCTTTGATACCTTGGTTGTATAGACTATTTCTTACTTCCTCCTGCCTTAAGGTGTTCACTAATTCGTAGGAATTCCTTTTCAGTTATAGATTTCGGGTTTATTTAAATTCCCCTTCAATACGCCTTCCTGTCCAGAGCTTCTTTGGTTTTCCTACGTTTTCTTGCCGGACTTGACAGCGATTTTCTTAAACCACCAGGTTTCCGGTGATTCAGATGCAGACCTCCATGGAAATATTTGTTCATCTACAAGTTGTATCCAAGACATTTTGTTTTCCGTAATATCATGATTGCCATCCACGCTTGTCATGGGGGTTTCGTTATACAAAGAAGGGAATTCAACCCTGCCCGCAATTTTTGTGTACTCATACCGCATTTTTAATGTTTGAAGAGCTGAGTCCGTGTACGAATCAAATTTGTCTGTCCGAGGATGTCAAGGAAACCTCAACGGTCTCAGTTAAACGACCACTTGAAAAGATGACCATCGAATATGCTATTTCGATAAGCATTTTGAGGATGCGCTTTCAAGATTCCACAGATTTCACTGTTATTTATTGTTTGGCTTTACCTTCTACCTTCTTAAAGCTCAAATCTCACCCACTTAGCTGGTTTGTTACAGAACGGTTTTTTTAATAAGCCGAGTTTAAAAAAGATTTCCAAGCGTGTCGGTCTAGTGCGCATCTCCTCCAATTTGAATGACCATGACCGAGATGTTGTATTCTACTTGGTCTTTCCATCTAAGTAAGCTCGCTTTTATATGCCTTTTGATCTGGGGCATCCTCATTCATTCGCTCAACATGGCCTAGTCACCGTAGTAGCTGCAGCTCAATACGACTGTCTTTGTCGTTGTCCGCGTATATATTGTGAAGCTCGTGGTTTATTTGATGCCGATATTCACCGTCAACGCAGATCGGCCTGTAGATCTTTCGGAGAAATTTTCTCTTAAACACCCCTCATCTCCCTGCCTCATCTGCTTGCGCGAATACCCATGCTTCAGATCCATATAACAGCACGGGTAGTAACAACGTCTTGTAGAGTGTGAGTTTGGTCTGGCGGGAGGTGGCCTTGTTTCTAAACTGCTCGCAATCTTTCTCCGAATTTCAAAACTGATGTCATTCGTTTTATTTATGGCGGTACCAAAGTATATAAAATCTTTAACTACCTCGAAGCTGTAGTTCTCAAGTTCCACAGTTGATCCGAGTCTAATGGACGTGTTGGGGACCCGCAGCAAGACATTCACTATCTTTATTATTTGAAAACCATGTTCGCTACTATCTGGTCCTTCCCTGCTGTATGAGGCTGCGGTGGGAATTTAGTCGCCGTTGGAGCCGCAACTCTTGTGATATTCCCGTATAGACCCTTGGATATTGACGATTTCTAGTTTTTTTTTCTCATTCGGGACCACCCTGGACGATATACTGAGTACCAGGCACTTTTAGAGACTCTTAGAGGAGGTTTAGTCGCCGTTGAAGTCGCAATCTTCGATGAGGTTAAGATTTAATTGTTCTCATAAAACTTTAGCATCATTCTGATCAGATCGAATTTTTGTGGGTTATTATATTTGAATTGTTTACTTTTTCAATACATCGACTATCCAAATTTATTACTCTCCGAAATTTTTCTTGGCCATTCCTCTGTTTCAGTTTCTCTGAAATTACGTTTGCTTAGTGTCGTGAGATTCTCGTCGAGTCATATATCTTTTACTACCCAATGTGTATTAATTCTCCACGTTAAGAATATAATCCGTCATTTAAAATTTTGTTAATTCCCGTCGCTGCATTGAAAATGGTATTATTGTGTATATTATCTTTTGTGCCACAATTTTTTGGATATTTACTGTTTTAGAATTCTTAAAACCAAATTACGTATTATTCCAGTCTTTAAAACTACTACATATACTCGCTTTTATAACACAATAAAGAAGCAATATCTACAATAAATATTTATAAATTTAAATATTATCTTATATATACTTATTTTTATGTTCCATCGAGTTTAGCTCTCTTTCTTCATTATACCCTTCACCACACTGTGGTACAGGGTATTATGTCTTTGTGCATATGTTTGTAACAGGCAAAAATAATCGAGATAGACCCATGGTTCCTTTTGAGAATATGCATAGAATCACTTTCTGATCGATTTATGCATGTAAATATCCGTCCGTCCGTCTGTCCGTCTGTCCGTCTGTCCGTCTGTCTGTCCATGTTAAATTGTAAACAAAGTACAGGTCGCATTTATGATCCGAATTGGATGAAATTTGGCACAAGTCACTTATTTGGCCCAAGGACGAACCCTATTGAAATTGGGAAAAATCGGTTCAGATTTAGATATAGCTCCCATATATATATTTAACCGATTTAATGTAAACGGTCCCTATATATCTTTCGATTTGCACGAAACTTGGTACAGCCTAATCATTTAGGTCTAGAATGATGTCTGCCAAGTTTCGTGAAACTATTTGAGATTTAGATATAGCTCCCATATATAGTTTCGTCCGATTTCATGTAAATGGTGCACCAAAGTCCCTATATATCATTCGATTTGCACGAAATTTGGCATAACGTAATGAATTAAGCCTAGAGTGATGTCTGCCAAGTTTCGAGAAAATCGGTTCAGATTTAGATATAGCTCCCATATATAGTTTCGTCCGATTTCATGTAAATTGTGCCCCAAAGTCCCTATATATCTTTCGATTTGCACGAAATTTGGCATAACGTAATGAATTAAGCCTAGAGTGATGTCTGCCAAGTTTCGAGAAAATCGGTTCAGATTTAGATATAGCTCCCATATATAGTTTCGTCCGATTTCATGTAAATGGTGCCCCAAAGTCCCTATATATCTTTCGATTTGCACGAAATTTGGCATAACGTACTGAATTGAGCCTAGAATGATGTCTGCCAAGTTTCGTGAAAATCGGTCGTGATTTAGATATAGCTTCCATATATAGTTTCTCCCGATTTTAGGTAAATGGTGCACCAAAGTCCCTATATATCCTTCGATTTGCACGAAATTTGGCATAACGTACTGAAGTGAGCCTAGAGTGATGTCTGCCAAGTTTCAAGAAAATATATTTTTATATAGCTCCCATATATACTTTCGTCCGATTTCATGTAAATGGTAAAAAAATATATATTTTTTGCACGAAATTTGGCATAACGTACTGAATATAGAATGATGTCTGCCAAGTTTTATAAAATCAGATATTTAGATATATTCATATATATGTCCGATTTCATTTAATATTAAAGAAATATATATATTTTTGCACGAAATTTGGCATAACGTACTGAATTGAGCCTAGAGTAATGTCTGCAAAGTTTTGATAAAATCGGTTCAGATTTAGATATACCTCCCATATATATCCGATTTCATTTAAATGGTACAAAGTATATATATCTTTCGATTTGCACGAAATCGTTCTGAATTAAGCGTAGAGTGATGTCTTCCAAGTTCCGAGAAAATCGGTCCAGATTTAGATATAGCTTCCATATATAGTTTCGTCCGATTTCATGTAAATGATGCACCAAAACTATATATCTTTCGATTTGCACGACATTCGGCATAACGTACTGAATTGAGCCTAGAATGATAACACAAGTTTTGAAAATGCATTTGATATATATATATAGTTAATACGCCCGATTTTAGGTAAATGGTGCACCAAAGTCCCTATATATCCTTTTATTTCGAAATTTGGCATAACGTACTGAATTGAGCCTAGAGTGATACAAAACTTGTTTCGTGAAAAATCCAGATTTAGATAGAGCTTCCTTTTATTAAAAATTTTAAGTAATTGATGCACCAAAACCAATAGGCTGATAGGAACAAAACTTTCTGAAATTAGTATAACCTAACCTGTGACAAGTTTGTTTGAAATCGCCTAATATTTCGATAGAGCTTCCATAATATTTTCGCCCGATTTCAAGTAAATTGGGCAAAAAATCCTCATGTTAGTCAGATTGGCATCAAATTTTGTACAACTTACAAAATTGAGCATAGAAACCTCTCTTGTTATGAAAAAGCAGACATAGCCCAACGGATGACCTATTTATATTTGTTTGAAGTCGATTTACATACTTTATGGATAGATTTAGGTAGATTCACATTTAGATAAATATCACATATTTTATTTCATCCAATTTCATCTTAATAGTCCTGTTTAATATACCCATAGTGGTGAAGGGTATCATATAGTCGGCCCCGTCCGACTTTACTACTTTCCTTACTGGTTAATATTTATATTTGTTTGTATCTCTAAGGGTTGCCTAATCCTGAAAAACCAACAAAAACTCGCTTTATATACAATAAAATATTTAAATATTTATTATAAAGTAAATATTAATACTATATTATTTTTATTAAAATATTATTAATATATATATATACAAAAACTTCAATTATTTCCACTAATGTGTCATATATTCTAACCATAATCACATCTAATAAACAGTAGAAATCATATAATGAACATTTTGGAGAAAATAGGTGCTTCAGCATCATTTCCAGATTTATATCTTAAGCTTTTACTATTTGAATTTCCTTATTAAATACTTTTTTTATCGGAAATCTACTGTTCCTACACTCACTCACAACCTATAACCAATATAATCTCTGAACTACTGCATTTCCATAATTATTAATTATTATAATTTTCAATGCAAGTTGAAAACTAATTTTATTTCAAAATTCATCCTAAATTCTATATGATTTCTATTAGTTGATTATATTTGTTTTACACAACTCTCGAATTTCTTATTTTCCTTACACGTTTTTACTTGTCTCACTCGAATTATGCTCTCTCTTTATAAATATTTATTTTTATTTTGGCATTTAAAATGTCACTTCCTCTTTATGTTTATTTATCTCAAAAGAATTTATTTTTTATTTCATAAAATATATTTTTTAATATATTATTTTAACCATTCCATTTAAAAAATATATATTTTTTAATGTTACAATATATTTTTGTTATATAATCAAATATTTTATATTCATATAAATGTTATTTGTTTAAAAATAAAGAAATTATTTTTAAATTCGAAATACGCAATAGCGTCATATATTATTGAATATTATTAAAATAAATATTTTCTAAATACATAATATATAACTTTTTTAAAAATTTTCAACAGCGGAGTTGCGCTCAAACTCTTCACATTTAAATTGAAATCAATCAATTTTTGTTCTCAATAAATACACTTGATCGGAACACCAGCAGCGTTGAAATACTGATATATAATTTAAGTAACACAATTTTGAACATTCAGATACACCTGAGGCCTTACTTACCATCATAGACCTCACTTTTTTTTATTTTTTGTGAATAAGATAATATCTGTTAGAACTTGAAAATCTACGCATCTGTTAGTCCTTGAAAAATATTTTATTATGACCGTTGCCCTGGTCATGACATCAAAATTCTGCTAGGAGATTTTAATGCAAAAATCAAAAGGGAAAATATCTGTGGCCCCATCAGCCTCCGTGAAGAAACATCAGACAACGGCATGAGGTTGATTGACTTCTCGGCAGCAAAAAACATGGTAGTTAGCAGCACCAGATTCAAGCATCTCGATATACATAAGGCCACTTGGATTTCTCCCGATCGAACAACGAGAAATCAAATCGATCATGTTCTGATATAAGGAAGGCATTCATCCAGTGTTTTAGACGTCCGATCGATCCGAGGAGCGAATATCGATTAGGACCATTATCTTTTGGCAGCCAAGGACATTTGACGTCGAAAAGCTGCAAACACAACATATAGCAGAAGCCTACTCCGCTCAACTTACCCAACTGTTCGACGAAAGCAACCCTTGTTCCGATAATAATATAGGAGCACAGTGGCAGAGAATTGTCTACAAACTGTAGAAAAAGCAACACTTGGGTACCAAAGACCACCATCAAGAAAACCGTGGTGCGATCAGGAGTGTCGTAATGCTACTGATATGAAAAACGCAGCATATAAGGCAACCCTGCGGACAGTAGCAACACGTAATGCAATGGAGAACTATCGGGAGAAAAGGAGATGGAGAAACGTTTTTTCAGCAAAAAAGAAGAAAGAACACGAAAAACGTGAGCGTGAGCAAATCCAGATGTACAGGAGTCAGAATGAAGTCCGAAAATTCTACCAACGGGTAAAACACCAAACCGAAGGCTTTGGTGCAGGCACATCCTCCTGTGGAGATGAAGAAAGAAACCTGGTGACAGATACAGACAGCGTGCTGAGAATCTGGAAGGGGCATTTTGAAAAACTTCTGGTATCAAATAGTAGCGGTGAAGAGGATACCCCAGAACCAATAAGAGATGACGTTATAGAGTGTATACCACCAAGCCAAGATGAAGTCAGAATAGCAATCAATCGGCTGAAGAATAATAAAACAGCAGGTGCCGATGGATTACAAGCCAAACTATTCAAAACTGGTGGTCAGATGCTGGTAAGGATCATGCACCAGCTGATTAGTACAATTTGGCTAGAAGAATGCATTCCCAATGATTGGAACCTCAGCATCCTGTGTCCCGTATAAAAAAAGAGACAAGATATCCAGCGTACTGTGTGGACGACTGAAGCCAATGGTCAATGACATTATTAGACCATACCAATGCGGCTTCAAACCTGGCAAATCCACCATTGACTAGATTTTCACTCTGCGCCAAATCCTGGAAAAACCCGACGAAAACCACATCGACACATACCATGTATTCGTCGACTATAAAGCCGCATTCGACAGCCTTATCCGTTCAGAGGTGTATAAAGCCATGTCTGCGTTTGGCATTCATGCAAAATTAATTCGGCTATGCAGGATAACTTTAACTGGCACAAGATCGTGTGACCCTTTTAACATCCTGCTCGAAAAGGTCATACGAGAGGCAAAGGTGAACAGAAATGGCACGCTGTACACTAAACAACAACTATGGGCCGATCTGTGTTGACGGTGAATATCGCCGTCGAATGAACCATGAGTTGTACCAGCTATTCTCCGACATAATGGGTCGAACACTGAGAGCGGTAATAGCCACCTTTGAACAAATGAATGAATGAGAATGCCCCAGCTTAAAAGGCATATAAAAGCGAGCCTACTGATGGTTCACGCAGAAGGGGAAGGCCACGAATAAGACGAAAAGATCAAGTGGAAGATAACATTGCCGAATGGTCTTTCAAGTTGGAAAAACTGCGCAAAAGACCTACGTGCCTGGAAATCTTTTTTAAGCTCGGCTTATGCAACAAAAGTTCTGTCACAAGCCAGCTAAGTAAGTAAAAAACAACACTTCTGTTAATCCTTCAAAAAATATTTTTTTAAAACCTACGTTTCTGTTAGTCCTCCTCAACAAATTCTTTAAAAAATCTACGTTTCTGATAGTCCTTCTAAAAGTATTTATTTAAAAATCTACGCTTCCGATAGTACTTCGAAAAATAGTCCTTCGAAAAATATTTCTTTAAAAATCATCGCTTCTGATAGTTCTTCGAAAATTATTTCTTTAAAAATTTACGCTTTTGAAAATTATTTGCTTAAAAATCTAAACTCTGATAGTCCTTCGAAACAATTCTTATAAAATCTACACTTCTGATAGTCCTTCGAAAAATATTGTTATATATTTTTAAATCCAGTAAAAAACAGGAAATTTTCTTTGAAATATTTGTTTTTCTTTCACCAACCATTTTTTGTTTTCTTTATTAATTTCATGATTTTTTTTTCATTCGAGATTCATTAAAACTATTTATTTTAATCTATAAAAGCATGTCGTGGCACCATATAAGCCATATAGGGTTTCACTGATGATGTTACACCATCTAGAGGTTCATCATCCGGCAGTGGTCCGGGCAGAGCTTCAAAACGGAAATTCTGCAATACCGTTGTTATGAACATAAACATCGTTTGACGGCCCAAAATATCACCCATGCAACGATGGCGACCATAACCAAAGGGATTGTAGGCTTCGGGTACCTTCAAACAACCGTCAACGAGAAACCTTTCCGGATTAAAACGTTGTGGATTGGGAAAATGTACAGGATTCATTAGCATACCACGAAAACAGGCAATGACCATTGTATCCTTGGGTATTTCATAACCTGATAGGCGAGTATCTTTCAAAGCACGATGTGGTATACCAAATGTATTGCCCATAAACATGCGTACACCCTCCAGGACAATAGCTTCACAATATGGTAATTTAATGCGATCTTTCCATTCCGGTCGCCGTTCAAGACCCACAACTTCTTTAATTTCATTGTAGGCTTTTTCCTGTATTTCGGGATTACGAACCATATGAAGAAATGCAAAGCCCAGACTTTTATTTGTCGTTTCCGAACCGGCCAAAAACATATCCAAACACACTGCCAGTAATTGTTCCTCGGTGAACGATGGTCTACGATCGGGATTTTCCAATTCTCTTAAGTAACTATCCATTAGATCTCGTGGTATATCATAATTTTTAAATGTTTCCTTGTGGATCCGCACTTCTTTGCGTAGAAAATTATAAATACGTTCATGATTCTCGACAAAGGCATTGTAGCCGGAATAATTGGGTGCAATATAACGCATAAAGGGGAAATGGCTAAACATGGCCCCGACCATATCCACATGTTGAAATAATTCAAAAAACATTTGCAGCAAATCATTGATTTCTTCACTGTTGCGATCGTAACGTTTTCCCGACATCATGGACCACAAGTTGTTGAGGACATAGACTGTGAATAGGTTCACCATGGCGACTTTAGCCCTCTTTCCTCCCTGATCTCGTACAATATCCTTTAAATCTTCCAATAGATATTCAGCCTCCTGCTGGATGCCATGTATCATGCCACTGCGGGCAAAACCAAAATCTTTCAAGTGCCTGAGAATAAAACGTCTCTGTTCCACCCACAATTCTTCATCGGTGACAAGTATACCTTTTTTGGAATTAAAGGTACGCATACGATAAAATATACCATCCGGTTTGCCATCCAAATCTTCATTGGTCATCATTTCCTGTATCGTATCATTGTAGTAGGCAATCACCACTTTATCCTTGCCAATTTTCAGACCATATAGGCCATACGGATTTACATAGAGTCTGGAGAGTTCATCAATGACCTTACAGAACATGCCATGCTTGGCACGTAATTGGGAAATTTGTAGGGCACAGCCAACAATGGGATACCATTTAGGGCCGGGTGGAAAGCGTCGAGGTTTGCGTACATCCCATATAAGGAACAATAGGATCAGGATGGTGAAAAATGTAACGGCATAAAACATTGTGACCAAAGCGATTTATTTTGGCAATTTTTCTAGTAAATCACGTTAAGTTTTTTTTTTTTTTGAAGATTTATGATTCCAAATCACTTCCGTTTCCGGTCTTCAATTAATTGCCAAATACATTTTGTTCATTTCTGTTTTTTTCTTTGACACACTTCACTTTTCTTTTTTGTTTACCCGTTCAATTTGTTTTCGGTTTTTCTTTTTCACTCCGACTTGTTATTGCTTTAAGGTGTTTGCTCACTGAACTGAAGCGTTTTCTTCGGTTGCATCATAATTTATACCAGTGGTCAACTGAACCAGTCTTCCATTGCAAAATTGTGTCTCTAACAACGGTAATAGTTTTATTTATCAGGCTTCTGTTGTGCCTCTAATACACAGCTAGTTGAAGAGAAAGAGAGATCAGAGTGGCTGAATTTTCTTTTTTCACTTTCCACTGCAACATGACTATTACATAATTTCAGTCAGCACAATATTTGTGATGTTGAATTGCCCCCCAGTCATTAAATCTTCGTGCAAATGCGATAAAGGTATCGTGAGCAGGAAAATGGGTATTATTTAATATGATACGCTATGATATAAATGAAGATCTTCTTTAAAAAAATCTCCTGTTACAGTTCTGAAAGACCCTTAACATTTATAGATTTTTTTTCAAAAATTAACAGAAGCGCGGATTTTTGAACAATTATCTTTGAGAATGATTAACAGAAACCTGTTTTTGAAAAATATATTTTTCAAAGCTAACAGAAACGTACATTTTAAAAGAACTATTTTTTGAAGGACTTAAAGAAGAGTAGATTTAAAAGAAGTATTTTTGAGAAGGAATTAAAGAAACGAGGATTTTTTAAGAATTATTTTTCCAAGGACATAAAGAAGTGTAGATTTTTAAATAGAAGAAGGAGCGTATAATTTAAAAACATAATTTTCAAGGACTAACAGAAGCGTCGATTTTTCAAGGATTTAAAGAATTGTCAATTTTGAAAGAAGTATTTTTGAGATGGAAGCGTAGATCGTAAAAAAATAATTTTTAAGGACAAATAGAAGCGTAGATTTTGAAAGAAATAATTTTTAAGGACAAATAGTAGCGTAGATTTTGAAAGAAATAATTTTTAAGGACAAATAGAAGCGTAGATTTTGAAAGAAATATTTTTTTCACGGACTTAAAGAAAAATTACAAAATTTGTATTCTGGGGCGTATATATTTACTCCTGAAAAACATAGACCCGTGAAGTGATTACGTATTAAAATGTTAGCTAGTAACCCATTAACAGACTAGAGAGCGAAAATATAGCGCTGATCGCTTTGAAATTTTCCATGAGGATGCATGTATGGTCAAGGACAACTCCTATAATTTTCGGTGATGATCAGATAATAATATTGGGATGAAGTGGACCGAAAACTTAAATTTTTTTCGAGTCGATTTATAGGCCACAATTGAAAACCGAACATCACAATACAATCTGGACAAGTCATTAGAAAGGGCTGTATTGAATATTAGTAATATGGCCGACTAGAGGGCCAAGGAATGCAGATATCGCGAAATATTGCCGTAGACCTTGGGCAATATTTCGCGATATCGCGATATAGAATCACACAAAATTAGATTTTCGTCGAAGTTGTGTAGGGTATCATATGGTCGGCCCTGTCCGATTATACTGATCCAGTGAGCGGATCATATTATTTTTTTTTTTCATATTATTTTTAAGGAGTTACAGAAGCGTAGATTTTTTAGGAATTATTTTTCAATGACTTACGAAGGCATAGATTTTTAAAGATTTCTTTTTCAAGAACTAAAAGAATCGTAGATATTTGTTAAAGGATTTACAGTAGCATATATATATATATTTTTTTTTATACTAACAGAAGCGACGATTTATAAAGAAATGTTTTTTTCAAGGACTAGCAGAGGCATAGATTTTTACAGAAATATTTTTTGAGGCCTACCAGAAGCGTTGATTATTAAAGCCGATTAAGGAATTAGTTTTTATGAACCGACACAAGCGTAAATTTTTTTGACGACCCTTAAAAATATTATTGAAAAAATCCACGCTTTTCGATCTCATCGATCACATAAAAATATATTCTTTAAAAATTTAAGATTTATTGGTCTGATGGTTCACATAAAAATATATGCTCTAAAGACGTTTAGACTTATTGGTCTAATGGTCCATGAAAATGTATCCTTTAACAAATCCACGATTATTTTTTCTATAAAATAACACGCTTATCGAACTGATATTTTATGAAAATTTATTCTATAAAAAATCCACACGCTTAACGAACTGATGGTCCATGAAAATATATTCTTCAAAAAATCCTAGCTTATCGACCTGAAGGTCTATGAAAATATATTCATAAAAAATTCACGCTTATCGATCTGAGTAATATTCATCAAGTAAAAAAAACTTATCAATCTTTATGATGAATACTCTTTAAAAACTCCACGCTTTTCAATTTGGTCCATAAAAAATTTATTCCTAAAAACCCACGTTTGTCAATAAAAACATAGTTTTTATAAATCCAAAAAATCCCCTGCAAATCTGATGCTGTTGTTTTCCAACTATCTATCATTCAGCAACAACACATCTGTTATTTCTTGTGGAATTGGTTTCGATTTCCACATCATATAAAATCAAATGAAAAGCATGTCAAATTGTCTTGTATCTGAAATCGTGCCTTCCTAAATTGTGTGGAAAATAAAAAATCCCCCCAACAAGTGGGGAAGTGTTATAATACAAAAACTTACTTTTGTTTTTGTTATTTCGTTTGTTTTGATGCCAAACGAACATAAAATAAATATTCCAATGGCACATAGCTTGCAATTTACCGGACCTCAACATTGAAAAATTGACTAATTGAATGTTTGGAAACAGCTTGCTGCACACCTCCACCCTCCACAACAAACTATGAGCTCTCAACCTACATCCAGGATTTACTTGTTTTCCACTCGGCCAAGATGACCGGTTAACAATAGCATTGCAAACTATTATGTCATCTAAACAAAATAAAAGAAAACCCAAACAAACTTCAGAATAAACCGGTTATTGTCCGACCGAACATCTCCAATTGTAGTTGGCCCTCAACTACTACCGGAAAATGGGGGGAAAAAGAAATGAAAATATTTTTTTGGTGTCGATTTCATCGCCAAATTGTATGCACTCGTTTGTACAGTTCCTGTTTGGTCATGACCAAAGTGCGTATTGCTGCACGGACGGGACAATTCAAGTTGCCATTTCAATTGTTGTGTGATATCCATTTGAATAGAGAGGTTAGGAAATTTGGGGGAAAATTGTAAACGGATTTTGCAAAGAATGGATTTTCGAAACAGATTTTTAGAGGTTTATAAAATATTTTTTGTCAGGGCGATAGGATTTCATTTTTAGGGAAATTTTTCAATGAGTCATCAGGTCAATACACTTGGATTTTAAGGGATATTTTTTTTAAGAATTTGTTTTATGGAGCATCAGGTCGCTAAGCGTGGATTTTTTAAAGAATATGTTTTATGGAGCATCAGGTAGCTATGCGTGGATTTTGTAAGGAATATGTTTTATGGAACATCAGATCGATAAGAGTTTTTTAAGACTATTTTTCATTGAGAGATCGATAAGAGTTTTTTAAGACTATTTTTCATTGACAGATCGATAATCGCAGATTAGAGAATATTTCATCATGGACCCACAGATCTATCCGCGTGGATTTCTTTAAAAATATTTCCTTAGGGATAAGCTAGATTTATAATAATATGTTTTTATGGACCATCAGGATGATAAGCCTGGATATATAAAAAATATTTTTTCATGAGCCATTTAATCTATAAACGTGGACTTTTTTAAGAAATTTTCTCTGGACAAGCGTGGATATTTCAAGAATATTTCCTCGTGGGCTAACAGATCGATAAGTATGGATTTTTATGGGCTATCAAATTAAGAAGAGTAGTTTTTAAGAATAGTTTATCATGTATCCACACATCGATAGAATAAGATTTTATCATGGACCACCACACCGATAAGCGTGGATTTTTTAAAAAAATAATTTTTCATGAAGCATCAGATGAGTAAGCGTAGATTTTTAGAGAATATTTTCTTGAGGACTCACACGTAGATAACCACAAGCCAGCTAAGTAAGTAAGTAATCAGATTGAAAAGCCTAGATTTTTTAAGAAGATTTTCTTATGTATGGACCCACAGATCGATAAGCATGGATTTTCCATGAATGTTATTTCATGGACCATCAGATTGATAAGCGTAGATTTTTTTAAAATATTTTATCATGGATCATCAGATTGATAATCGTGGATTTTTAAGGAATTTTTTCTCATGGAACCTCAGATCGATAAGCGTAGATTTTCAAGAATATTTCTTCCTGGGCATTCAGATCGTTAAGCGTGGATTTTAAATGTATTTTTATTAAATTAATTTTTAAATAATATTTTCTCATTTTCTAAAGCATATTTTTTCATTGATCTACAGATCGATGACCGTGAATTTTTAAATGCATTTTTTTATTTTTGGAATTTCCTTATCCTATTTCTGGAGGCGCAAGCCCTGCTTTTGTAACTGGAATAGTAAATATCTAAGTAATATTTTGAACTAAACTGAAAAATAGCACCCTCGTATCTACAAGGAGAATTCCATGGCCTTACATTTATTGTGAATTCATGTCCATGTCGATTTTTTTTGGTAAACTTTCTTGCTTCCACTTTTATTTGAAGTTGTTGATACATTTGAGCAGGAGTTAAGCTTCATTTACAATTCAAACGTTTAAGTCAGCGGGTTGAATAAACGGTTTACGAGAGCATTCAAAATAAAAAAAAAAAATTTCTGGAACAAAATCTCTAGCTGGATAAGGCAATGGGTTTCAGGTGAGTCCAATATTTTTATTTATAAGTTTTAATTTTAATAAATTTTTCTTTACCACCCTAGACTTCTAATTTTAATGGCCATGGGCCTGGGAGCCATGTATATGTTACATTTATTGGCTCAGGATTGGGATAAGATACGACAACCTGTACCAGCAGCTGTATCACGATTATTAAGTGGAGCGAGTCGATCCTATTTATTACGTGGTAAACGTGACATACATGGTGATGCCATTGGACATCATCGCCATGTACGGCGTATTCCAGAGAAACATTTAGCCAGGAAAACAAATGCCACCGTTAATGTTATCGATTGGAAACGTATCCTTTCACGTGATCCCTTTGAATGTTTACAATCATTGGTGTGCCAACTTCTGTCGGGTGCTGAAAAAAATTCCGAAGAAGCGGTGTTGATATGTGATTTTCTCGAGGAGAATATAAGTGTGGCACCATCGAAAATCGGACGTGCCTTTAGTCGTGGTTTGGCTTATCGCGGCCGTACCGAACGTTGTTACGATGAATATCCTTTTTGTTGGTATTCCGCGAAGACTATGTTGAAAATGTTAAAATGGCTGGCTGAAACTGTGGAGAATGATACGTCTTAGTTAGATAACGATAAAAAATAGGTGTGGAAACCATAGGCTGCCTTATAAGTTTAATTTTATGTTTGCATTTAGTGCATAAAAAGTCATTTTATATATACTACGTATTTTTGTAATTTTAGTGGATAGACATTATTTTTTTAAATAAATTTATATTAAGTTAGACATAGCGATTGTGTGTATTTTTGAAGACCTATCAGAGCTGTAATCGAGAACATTTTTAATAATACTTGTATCATGGACCATCAGTTTGATAAGCGTGAAGTTTATAAATCATATTTTTTTGTGGATCATCAGATCGCTAAGTGTGGATTTTTTAAACAATATTATTCTCATTGGCTACCCGTTTGATAAACGTAGATATTTTAAGGACTATTTTTGCATGGGCCATCAGTTCGATGTAGATGTAGATATTTTAAGGAATATTTTTTTATGGACCATCAGTTCTATTAGCATAGATTTAAAGAATGGACCATTAGTTCGATAAGTGAAGATTTTTTAAAAAATATTCTTTGAAGACCCATACAGGATATAAACGTGGTTTTTTAAGAATATCTGTTCGTGGGCAATTAGTTCGATAAGCGAAGAAGTTTAAAGAAAGACTATTCTTTGAAGATCTATACAAAATATAAACGTGGATCATCCGTCCGATAAGCGTAAATCCTTACCAGCATCTGACCACCAGTCTTGAATAGTTCGGCTTGTAACCCATCGGCACCTGCTGCCTTATTATTCTTCAGCCGATTGATTGCTATTCTGACTTCATCTTGGCTAGGTGGTATACACTCTATACCGTCATCTATTATTGGTTCTGGGGTATCCTCGTCACCGCTACTATTTGATACCAGAAGTTTTTCAAAATGCTCCTTCCAGATCCTCAGCACGCTGTCTGTATCTGTCACCGGGTTTCCTTCTTCATCTCTACAGGAGGATGTGCCTGCATCAAAGCATTCGGTTTGGTGTTTTACCCGTTGGTACAATTTTCGGACTTCATTCTGACTCCTGTACATCTCGATTTGCTCACGCTCACGTTTTTCTTGTTCTTTCTTCTTTTCTTTACCTTTCTCCTCTCTCCTTTTCTCCCGATAGTTCTCCATCGCATTACGTGTTGCTACTGTCCGCAGTGTTGCCCTATACGCTGCGATTTTCACATCAGTAGCATTACGACACTCCTGATCGTACCACGGATTTCTTGGTGGTGGTTTTGGTACCCAAGTGTTGCTTTTGCAGCAGTTTGTAGGGAGTGAGTAATTCATTGCCACTGTGCTTCTATATTATTATCAGGACAAGGGGTGCTGTCGTCAAGCAGTTGGGTAAGTTGAGCGGAGTAGGCTTCTGCTATCTGTTGTGTTTGCAGCTTTTCGACGTCAAATTTTCGTGTTACATTAGATCGCACCTTTGCTGCTACATTAAGAATCGATATTCGCTCCTCGGATCGATCGGACGTCTAATACACTGGATGATTACCTTCCGTCTATCACAACATGATCGATTTGATTTATCGTATATCGAGATGCTTGAATCTGGTGCTGCTAACTACCATGTTTTTTGCTGCCGCGAAATCAATCAACCTCATGCCGTTGTCTGATGTTTCTTCATGGAGGCTGAATTTTCCGACGGTGGAGCCAAATATATTCTCCCTTATGATTTTTGCATTAAAATCTCCTAGCAGATTTTTAAGGTCATGGCCAGGGCAACGGTCATATTTTGTTTCTAGGCACTCATAAAATATATCTTTGGTCTACTCATCATTGCCTTCGGTCGGAACATGGGCGCAAATAAGACTGTTGTAGAAGAACTTCGCTTTTATACGGATTATAGCAATTCGCTGATCTACTGGAGTGAATCTGGAGATGAGGTCTTTTATTCTCTTGTTAACCATAAATCCGCAGCCAAATTCACGTCTCGTTTCATGACAGATATAATACAGGGCGTAATCATCTGATTTACTTACGCCTGTCCCTTTCCATCCTGTAAGGCAATAATATCGGCTTTGTACTTCTATTTGTAAACTTTGAAAAAATAATCTTTAAAAATCCACGCCTTTGTTAGTTTTTAAAAAATCTTTAAAAATCCACGCCTTTGTTAGTTTTTAAAAAAATCTTTAAAAATCCGCGCCTATTTTTAATTCTTGAAAAAAACATTCTTTAAAAATCCACGCCTATTTTTTATCCTTGAAAAAATATTCTTTAAAAACCAGTTCTTTCTTTAATCTTTGAAAATATAATCTTTAAAAATCCACGCCTATATTTAATCCTTGAAAAAATATTCTTTAAAAACCAGGTCTTTCTTTAATCTTTGAAAATGTAATCTTTAAAAATCCACGCCTTTTTTAATTCATGAAAAAATATTCCTTAAAAATCCACGCATTTGTTAGTCCTTGAAAAGAAACATTCTTTAAAAATAGATAGTTCTTTAAAAATTTTGTAGATATACAAAACATATTTCCCTAATTCCATAAAAATTCCAACAGTCCCTTTAGTCTTTTTTTTAACGAAACCCCCTAAAGTATACTTTACAAAATAATTAAGCAAATTATTATTATACAAAAAATTGTTTTTATTATTTTTTAATATATCTATGTTAGTTTAATATATGTATATAAATGTCAGTTTATGTTTATGAAATTAAACAATTAAAGCAATCATACATTTATTTAATTATTTTGTTTATTATTTTTGTTAAGGTGAATATGATTTATCGGTTATTTGCTTTGGTACCTTGTTGTTTTTTTATTATTATAAAGAATACAAGTCGCTAGCAAAGATAAGATGATGATATAGTAACTGTAATTAACAAAAAAGGAAATTGTATTTAATTTCTGCAGAGTAGAGGATTGGCATGCATATTGTGTTGTAGGAAAAAAATAGAGTATTCGTCATATAAAGGATAATGTAATTGTATAATAATTGGACTGAACGCCAGATCCGCCTTTATTTTCAATATATCCAAATACGATATGTTTTCATATATTTTTGTTATGGGGTATAGGGTAGGTTAGTTTGTTAGGAAAAAAATTATATTAAAATTTATAGTTTTTTTTTTGTAAGTTTTCATCATTTTGCTACGCTGCAACATTTCATTAAATATTTTACTAAGATTTACTATTTCTTTGTTTTTGTTTTTCCTGTGTTAATGTTATTTTTTATATTATTTAGAATTATTTGTTTTCTTTACTTTGGATTACAAGTCTCACTCTCAAATGCATACATTATAGGTAAATATTTTTGTTGTTGTTGTTATTGTTTATAATATAAAGTTTAGTAATAAGTTAAATGAAATGAAGATGTAGAAATATAAATATTCTCATTAAAAAAAATAATAATAATAATAACAAAAAATTAATTAAAAACCAGTGAGCGGAGCAGTATAGTCGGATGGCGCCGATCCTATGATACCCACGAAAGTCTAACTTTGTGTGGTTCTATATTCTAAATATGGGCAATATTTCGCGATATTTACACTCTCTTGGCCGACTAGAGGTCATCAAATATTACTAATATTCAGTACAGCTCTTCTAATTACTTGTCCAGATTCCCTTCACCGCGGGTTGTGTGGTGATGTTCGGCTTTCAATTTTGGCCTACATATCAACTCGAAAAAAAAAACACAAAAAATTAAGTTTTCGGTCCACTTCATCCCAATATTATCTGATCATCACCGATGATTATAGGCGTTGTCCTTGACCATACCTGCATCCTCATGGAAAATTTCAAAGCGATCAGCGCTATATTTTCGGCCTCTAGTGTGGTAATGGGTTACTAAATAATATCTAAATACGACCGATATTTATCAAACCAGCTATGGTTATTCTTTGGCCCAATCCCCTTCTTCATGTAAAAAATCGCGATGTTTGGGTCATAATCATAATAAAAACCGACAAAATTTAACTACTTGGTCCATTTCATCCCCTAAATATTACCCGATCTTTACCAAAACCATCCTTTATGCAAAATTTCGTGAAGATTGATCCATAACTGTGGCCTGAATCGTCTAAACTCAGCTAGTCCAGATATGACGATCGGTATACTTAAAGGTGGGTCTATTACCAATATTTCGCGGCGTTACAAACTCTTGGGGCTGCTCAAAGCTGCCCCAAGAGTTTGACAACACAGTTGTGTAGGGTATAATTAATTTTTGAGTTTTTGCCTGTAAGGGCGATGTTCAGATCAAATCTGCTTTGAGTGGAGACAAATATCGAATTTTGATAGATTTAAATTTAATTCCTAAATTTGACTTTGTAAAAACTTCGATATATATATATATATATATATATATATATATATATCCTGTTTTTATTGAAGGAATATTTTTTCAACACAGGCGTGGATTTGTAAAAGGAATATTTTTTCAAGAATTAAAGCAGGTCTGGATATATATTTTTCACAATATAGAAATGGAACCATCCTACGGATTGACTATTTAAGAAATTCTCGAAGGAACAGATTTTTCCTCATACCGGTTTGTATGACATATCTGCCTCAATGCACATAAGTGAAATCACTGCATAAAAATGGGACAATGTTAAATTTTCTGCAATACGCGATCGACACAAAATATATAAGAATGAAGAAGAAGGGCTATTGGTTTTAACCCCTATTTTATTGCCTTAAAAACAACCGACCTTGCGTGTAGTCCTTATAAAGTCGATTTATGCATGTCCGTCCGTGCGTCCGACTGTCCGTCTGTTGGTATTAAATTGTAATCGAAAGTACAGGTCGAATTTATAATCAGATTTGAATGAAATTTGGCACAACTCATTTATTTGGCCCAAGGACGAACCGATTTTAGGTAAATGGTGCGCCAAACTCCCAATATTTGTCCGATTGAGACAAAATTGTGCATAGAGTATTGAATTAGGCCCAGATGATATGCGAAGTTTTGTTGGAATCGTATCAGATTTAGATATAGCTCCCATAAATAGTTTCGCATCATTTTATGTAAATGATGCACCAAAGAGTAAAATTTAGGCCGACTGAAACAAAATTTTGCACAGAGTACTGAATTAGGTCTGGATTGATACATGCCAAGTTTTGTTGAAATTGGTTCAGATTTAGATATAGCTCCCATATATAGCTTCGTCCGATTTTTTTTGTGCACCAATATTGGTACGGTGGAGACAAAATTTAGCACAGAGTACTGAAATAGGTCCAAATTTATGTAAGCGACGTTTTGTCCTATACCTATAGTTTGATATTTTTGACTTTCATTAATAAAAAATTAACATCAAAAATTTACTCATATAAAAAAAAGTTCCAAATGATTTTTGGTTTTTTTCATGTAAACCTTATGGTGGGGGTTATACAAAATTCATTTCGACCGAACTTAACGAAGTTTTTTACTTTAAGCAGATATGGAATTTCAACAGATTCGGAATTTTTCTCTGAACAAGAAGGTGTGTATCCTCTTGATGGGGCCTCCAAAAATATTTGGAGGTTTGCAAACGGAACGACACATTTAGTATTTATAAAGTGTAGAGTTTAAAAATAAATACACATACATTGAGTTAGTCGGACTGGGTTTAACATTTTCCTGCGAGTTTGTTCGGAATATAACACTGACCGCAATAGTAGGACATAAAAGCACGTAGGAAGACTATTTTGTTTCAATTTATGATTTAGTTAATCTCGATAATCTTTTTTTATATTAATCTGTTTTTTTTTTCAAATGAGCAAAAACAAAAAAAAAATATATATATATATATATATCTTATAAAAACAATAATAAAAGTTAAAAATATAAGAATTGTAAAGTTTTTTTCTTTATACAATGTCATAAATTGTTTGCATATTTTTCTCTAAATTATGTTCATTTAATGTTCAACAATTAAAGCACATTTACTGTTACTATTCATCAGTTTTTTTATCAGTATTTCTTTTTGTATCAATTTCAATAATTTTTTTTTTCGGTTCTAACATTTAACAGTTGCATTTAATTTTACTTTTCAATAGTTTTTTTTAGTTATTGTGTGTTATTAATTGTATTTGCTATTTTTATTACCTTTTCTTTGTATATTTTTTTCTATTTATTATTTTTTTTTGTCTCCATAATTTATTGGTCCATTTTAGAAATGATGAAAAAGAACGTAAATAATATCCTACCATATTTATTATTGATTTTAAATATTTATTATACAATTGACCCTAACAATGCGCAATAGTGGAAGCTTAAAAGTTTTTCAATTTAAATTAAAAAAATATTTCTTATTGCAATTTTTTTAAAAATATATATAAAAATTAAAAAAAATATATAAAATGGGGGCAGGTCACAGTAGCTCTGTAAATCTACACGAAGTTGTGATGTTTATCGCAAAGTCTATGTAATACAAACAATGTTTGTTAGCTGCCTTCTTTGCCATATAATTGAATTTAATAACGCAAATACCTTGTATATACGAGGGCAGTTCGGAAAGTTCTTAGCCTGACACAAAAAGTGCGTTATGAACAGAAAAAAGTTAAGTTTTGGAAACTTCCATATCTGTTATGAACACATGTTATATTTTCTTTCGATCTGGCTCTTCTTCATAAAGAAACAGGTGTTCAAAAAAGACGCGTCGGCTTGTATTTCTTCCATGTTAGGCGAAGAAGAGGTTAGTATTTGTTATTCTTTTGCCCCATATGAATTACTGCTTGGTAGTGTGTCTGGAACTATAGATCGGACTCTCTTGAAATTCAGGCGCATTGTAAATGGTATTTGTTGTTTCGTTTATGGAATTAAAAAAAATATTACCACATATCAGGCTATGTTGAGAATTTTTTTTAGAGTTGATTTTGAGAAATTTGAAAAAATATTTCTCATTCAATATGCTCTTTTTTATAAAATTGTAAAATTTGGAGTACTTCATCTACTATCGAATATTTTTACATTTAATTGTCTTCAAGATATCAAGATACTCAGATATATAAACCCAGAATATACAATTCTGTGTTTGAGAAATAATTTTCAATTCGTGTTACTCGAATCTGAAACTACTTGCCACTTGAACTGAGAGTATTTTTATATCCTTCATCACAATCTGGTACGTCTTTGTGCATATGTTTGTAACAGGTTAACGGAAATGTGATAGACCAATAGTTCCTTTTGAGAATATGCATAGAATAACTTTCTGAGTCGATTAATGCATGTCCGTCCATCCATCTGTTGATGTTAAATTGGAAACAAAGTACGGGTCCCATTTGTTATCCGAATTGGATGAAATTTGACACAGGTCATTCATTTGGCTCAATGACTATAGATAGATATAGTTCTAATATATATTTTCGTCCGATTTTAGGTAAATAGTGCACCAAAGTCCCAATATATCTTTCGATTTGCACGAAATTTGGCATATCAAAATTTTGTGGAAATCGAAAGCTATATCAGGACTTTTGTGCAACATTCACATTAAGTCGGATGAAAATATATATGGGAGCTATATCTAAATCTGAACCGATTTTCACCAATTTTAAAAGAGTTCGTCCTTGGGCCAAATAAGTGAGTTGTGCCAAAATTTCATCCAAATCAGACCATAAATGCGACCTGTACCTTGTTTACAATTTAACATGGAAAGACAGACGGACGGACATTCATAAATGGACTTAGAAAGTGATTCTATGCTTATTCTCAAAAGGAACCATGTGTCTATTTCGTTTCTTTTTGCCTGTTACAAACATATGCACAAAGACTGTACCACAGTGTGTGGTGAAGGGTATAAATACGCAATGTATTGTGAAATACTATCCGGATTATCGAGATTTCACTTAATCTTCTGTTTTGGCATTTAAATACACATTTGAAAGAGTATTAATTTTTAAAAAATAATACTAACCAGAATTAAGAATTTGTCTTTCTTATCTACATATATATAAAAAGTAAATTCATTTTCGAAATATATATATTTTTCTTCCTTTATTGCACACTATATAAATGTTGTTATTGGTCACTTTAGTTAGTTGATTCAATAATCTATGCGAAAACAAAAAATTATTATTTAACAACAATAAAAAATGTATTTCGGGGGATTTTTTTTTTCAAAATTAAATTTCCAAATAACATAATGATATTAAATCAAACACAAAAAAAAAGGGGGAAAAATTAAAATTAAAATAAAAAAATTAAAAAAATATATATATTATATAAGTGGGGGAAAAACATATAAAAAAAATATACACCTACATATATTCAATACAATATGTATTTAATAATTTTAATTTTCTTCTCCTGCTTCGTCTTCTTTTTCTTCTACATAAAAATAACATCATTGTAGGTTTTTTTATGTTGTGAGTGATGTTTTTTTCTTCTCCTACTGAATGCTACAAAACTTTTTTTAAAAAAATTCCCTAATATGTTTGTTGTTTTCATGTTGTTGTTGTTACTAATGCTATAATTGTTTTTGTATGTAATTATTTAATGATATTTCTTTTAATTTTCTCGTGTTTTTTTTTCTTCTATTTTCATTGTAACAAAAAATGTAGTAGATTTACAAAAAGGATTTGATTTTCTTCTTCTTTTTCTTTTTTACTTTAAAACAGTACAAAAAAGGTTTTATTATTAATAATGCAACGAATTTGAAACATATGTATCGTTTTCCTTCTTCATTAATGTATGTAATTTTTGTTTTTATTAGTTTTTTTATAATGCTGTTTGAGAATTTTTTAATTTGTTGGTTTGTAGAAAAAAAACACTATCCAATAATTCTCCTCCTCCTGATCCCTCTCAATGTTTTCCATTGTAACTTAAACTAGGCAACTGGCTGGCACAACAACATGCCACCACATACAGAATACCAAAGAAGAAATTCAATTTTGCCGTCTGTCTTGGCACATTATTCATTGTCTGTTCGTTGCGGAATTGTTTTTCAATACGGAACGCCTGCGGCACCGTTATCAAAGGCAACAGAAACCATACCGAATATTTCATAGCATAAACGACAAATACACTATACGGTGTAAACAATAGCAAAGCATATAGGACATGGGAGGCAGTGCGTCCAATTAGTATGGCCAATGTTACGATACCGGCTTTACGATCATTTTCCACATCACGTGTATTGTTACTGTGCAGAATCGCCTCGGTGTTGAGGGCCAACGGTATGGCATAGTAGATGGTAGTCCAGTCGACATGACCAGTCTGTGACATGAATGCAAATAGCACTGAGATGGGACCGAACCATATCAGTATTACCAAATCGCCGAGGGCAATGTACTTGAAACCAATACCACCGGTATAGAGGAAACTTGACGAGAGGCCACCAAAGTATATTAGGGCTAAATGTTCCATTTTGGCTGGACTCAATATGGCCAGGCAAATGAAGCCCACACAACCAGCCATATATAATATAGCACCCAGAGAAACAACCTGAAAGAAGAAGAAAAAAAATTATTAGTTATAAAATATAAAATAAATATCTAAATCTGAACCGATATCCACGAAACTTAACATACATCATTCTAGACTTAATTTAGTGCGCTATACCAAATTTCGTACAAAAAGGAAGATATATAGGGACTTTGGTGCACCATTTACCTTAAATCGGAGGAAATTATATAAGAGAACTATATATTATCTGAACCAATTTTTCCCAATTGCATCTATTCTCACAACATGACTAGCCAACTTAATCGCTGCAGCTCGATACGTCTGACTATGTAGATGTTCGAGAATAGATCGTACAACTCATGGTTCATTCGACGGCGTTATTCACTCACAAAAATCGGTCCATACATCTTTCGGAACATTTTTCTCTTAAACACTCCAAGAGCTGTCTCATCGACTTGTGCAAGTACTGCTTCTGATCCGTGCACCAGCACGGGGGTAGTGTCTTGTAGAGTGTGAGTTTGGTCTGGCGAGAGGTGGCCTTGTTTCTGACGTGCTTACATAGACCATAGTAGCATGTGTTGGCCAACACTATTCTGTATTAATTTTACAGGAATGCCGGACACAGACATAGCTTTAAGTATCTCTGAACGGATAGGGCTGTCGAATGCGGCTTTATAGTCGAGTAATATGTGGTATGTGTCGAAGTGATTTTCCTGGGTCTTTTCCAGGATTTGGCGCAGTGTGGAAATCTGGTGGTCATTGGTGAATTTGCCAGGTCTGAAGCCGCTTTGGTATGGTCCAATAATGTCATTGACCATTGACTATTTGATACCACAGAGCTTTTCAAAATGCTCCCTCCAGATCCTCAACTCGTTGGTAAAATTTCCGGACTTTATTCGCACTCCTGTACATCTCGATTTGTTCACTCTCATGTTTTTCTTGTTCTTTCTTCGTTTTTCTGAAAACACGTTTTTCTCCTCTCTCCTTTTCTCCCGATAATTATACATCACATTACGTGTTGCTACTTTTTGCAGGGTGGCTCTATACGCTTTGTTTTTCACATTAGTAGCATAACGACACTGCTTATCTTACCAAGGGTTTCTTGATGGTGGTTTTCGGTACCCAAGTATTCCTGCTACATTTAGACAGGTGCGTACCTTAGCTGCCACATGGTAATGGTCCGAAATGATATTCGCTACTCGAATCGATCGAACGTCTCAATCACTGGATGAATGCCTTCCGTCTATTACAGCATGAACAATTTGATTTCTCGTTGCTTGATCCAGGTGGCTTTGTATAAATCGATATGCTAGAATTATCATCTGATTTACTTACGCCAGTCCCTTTCCATCGCATTTCCTGTAAGGCAATAATATCGACTATGTACAGCCTAATATTTTAAGCATACCTTCGATTTGTGAGAGATGGGGCTTTTCTTTCCACCACAATGGAATCCTAAACCAAACATAGATGTTTCTTCACCGGAGTCATCCGATAATGTACTATTCATAATCAGAGAACAATTGTGTTTCGATTTATCAGCGTAAGTCTACTGAAATCCTGACAGAGCTCACAATATTTTAAGATGGAGATTTGAAATGTTAGACCCTAGTATATTTACGAAATGGAATATATTGATTCACTATTGGAAGTCTTCCATATAATGATGTCGCCCCCTTTTTTGGTATTTTGAAACTCTTCATAAAACAAAATATTTAATATAGGCTCATTTTGGCTCAGTAATCAGATGGATCAAAAATCTCCATTTTCGAACATGGTCATGGTTTGGAAGATATATGAAATCGAATCCTTTCCTTGAGCCTATCGTGCCTACCAGGTCTGCAAGACTCTCGGACGTATATTGTCCGTAACGGAATTTGGTACAAAGACACTTGTGCCTAAAACTATTTAATCATAACGAGGAGCACATATTCACCGCATTAGCCTGAAATCTGAGGCTATACAAAAAATGTTTAAATTTTTCTTCATTTGGAATTTTTTCAATGCATCCATTATCGACCTGATTTGTTTTCTTTGATACATATATAAAGGTGTGTGAGTGTGTGCAATATATTTCCAATTAAAACAATTCAAGGAAAAATTCCAACTAAAAATACCTGTAAACACAAACAACACGATCGACATAAATAAAACACAACACATTAGCCAAAGAAATTACCTCATCTTTTGTTAGAATGTGATCCACCAGGGTACGATCATCAGCCTTTTGTTTATCAATTCCTTTGATAAAATCAAAATATGTATTAACCACATTACCGGCACAATGGACCGTGACAACGGTGAAAATGGTCAGGAACAACGTGATAAAGGAGAAATCCGCCGACCACTGGGAACGAAAGGCTAATGCTGAACCCAATAGGGTGGGTACCAAACTGGCCGACAATGACCAGGGTCGTAGGGCTAGTAGATAGGTTTTTAGTTTCATAAATGTGCCGGTGGTTGAGAGATGGTGGTTTGTTGTAGCTTTTGTAGTCCTGCTGCTCGTAGATGATAGATTTGTCGTTGATTTGGCATGATGGTGATGATTCTGTTGATTGTTGTGATTGGCGATTTTGCCATTTGCAGTTGCCGAAGTTGTTTCTGCTGCTGGTGATGTTGCACCACCATTATTTTGCGCCCGTTTCCGCAGTAGACTTTCAGTTGCCGTTTCCTGGTCCATTGGGATGTGAAGTTTTTGTTGTTAGCTGTTGTAAAGAAGAGGAGTAGTGAAATAAAATTGTGGAAATAAATTGTTCGCTTACCTGTTGCTGTTGTTGAATATTAGCCCACTCAATTCGTACTAATTATCTTTCCAGTACGATTTGTTTATATTCGAAATTGAATAACCCACAATCTTGGCTGTTCCTTGTGAGTGCTCTTGTTCTTCTGGCTCTGCGTTAGATATGTATCTCTCGCTCTGTGTGTTATCCCAAAACAAAATCTATATATTTAAATAATTCGAAATGTGTGTTGATTGTTGTTGTTTTTGTGTATTTTTGTTGCTTGCTTGCGCTTGAGTATTGTGTGTTTACTTTATAATGAAATATGCTGATGAATGCCACACGCGCCACACAACACACAGACAGCCTCTTAGAATTGGTGTTGTTTTGTTGTATTACCAACAGCCAGCTAGCCTGCAGTCAGTCGATCAGTTTGTTTGGTGTCTGTCAGCCAGCCAGCCTGTCAGCAGTGTACCTTATTGTTGCTGATCTTTCTAACACACCAACAAATCACTACCAAAGCAAATTAATGAGTGAATATCAATAACAATTGTTTATTTCCGCCTCAATTTCATCAATATTCTCCGAACACCATATTGTTCAACAGTACAGTGTCACTTTGTCGTCTTCTTCCAGGCAGGCTCTTTCTTGTTTTCTTTTTGTGAGTGAGATGTGCCTGTCGCCTCCTTTCCTTTTTGTGTTCTACTTTGACGTGTTGTGTATTGTTGTTGTTTAGCCGTAGCAGCAGCAGCCAATATGCAGGAATCTTCGTGTTGTAACTGGTTTCGACTACTCCAAGTTGTACATTTGTTTACATTTAACCAATTGCTCTCCTTTTCACAATTTCTTTTTATTATCGTTATTCTATCCGTTCTCTACTACATTTGAATATTTTTTATTTTATATTTTTTTGATTTGTTAAGATTTTTAAAGAGTTTCCCTATAGAAATTTTCACTTATTTCTTCGATGTTGCGGCTACTTGCTCTCTCTTTTCTTTTTTGGCCTACTCTCCTCATATGTAACGTCACATCAAGTGTCATTTATGCTGCCAACTCTCACAGGAGATGAGACTACTAGGTAGGTTCACATGTTATGATTTGTTGTCATCTATGAATGCATGATGGCTGCCGTAATAGTGCTGTGTGGCAATTGTCAAAAATGATGAGAGCAGAGGGTTTATGAGATGTAAATGACCAGAAAGAGAGGAAAAATGTAAAACAATTTAAATACATAATATAATTAAATAACCAATTCAATTAATAATAGAGAATACAAATGACAAGGGTGCTCTCTTTGGTGTTTTTTTTAATAAAAACACTTATAATGTTTGTATTTGTGTGAGTTAAACAAAGAAGATGCTAACATGTGAGCGACCATATGCAACCGAGCGTTACAGTGTTAATTAGTGGCGTACGTAACGTGACGCATTTTAGTGTTACGTTGTAACGTAGTGCAATAGAGAATGGTGGCGTATGGAATAATGCGTAGTCGGCGACAGTTATAAAAAGCTGATTGATTTAATAGAAGCAATCTATCAGTTATTGTTTTTATAAATTAAATCCATATTAGACCTTCCAATGGATATAGTAAGAATGAGATTTACACTAAGGAAAAAGAGTAAAGGGAAAAATAATAAAAATAATTATTCAAAACACGATATTTTTATACCCTTCACCACACTGTCCTACAGGGTATTATGTCTTTGTGCATATGTTTGTAACAGGCAAAAGAAAACGAGATAGAATCATGGTTCCTTTTGAGAATATGCATAGAATCACTTTTTAAGTCGATTTATGCATGTCCTTCCGTCCACCCGTCCGTCTGTTTGTCTGTCTACGTTAAATTATAAACAAAGTACAGGTCGCATTTATGATCCGAATTGAATGAAATTTGGCACAGCTCATTTGTTTGGCCCTAGGACGAACCCTATTGAAATTGGGAAAAAATCGGTTCAAATTTAGATATAGCTCCCATATATTCGTCCGATTTAATGTAAATGGTGTACCAATGCCCCTATATATCTTCCGATTAGCACGCAATTTCGTATAGCGTACTGAATTGAGTCTAGAATGATGTGTGTAAAATTTCTTGAAAATCGGTTCAGATTTAGATATAGCTCCCATATATATCTTCCTTCGATTTAAGGTAAATGGTGAACCAAAGTCCCTAAATATCTTTCGATTTGCAGGAAATTTGACACAGCGTATTGAATTAAGTCTGGAATGATGAGTGTTAAGTTTTGTGAAAATCGGTTCAAATTTAGATATAGCTCCAATATATAATTTCGAACGATTTAAGCTAGATGTTGCACCAAAGTCCCTATATACCTTCGATTTGTACGAAATTTGGCATACCGTATTGAATTAAGTCTAGAATGATGTGTATTAAGTTTCCTGAAAATCGGTCTAGATTTATATATATATATATATCTCATATATATTTTCGTCCGATTTAAAGTAAATGGTGAACCAAAGTCCCTATATACCTTTCGATTTGCACGAAATTTGACACAGCGTACTAAATGATGTGTGTTAAGTTTTGTGAAAATCGGTTCAGATTTAGATATAGCTCCCATATATATTGTTGTCCGATTTTAGGTAAATGGTGCGTTAAAGTTTCTATATATCTTTCGATTTGTATGAAATTTTGCATAGTGTATTGAACTAAGTCTAGAATGATGTGTGTTAAGTTTCGTGAAAATCGGTTAAGATTTAGATATAGCTCCCATATATATATTCGCCCAATTTTAGGTAAATACTCCACTAAAGTCGCTGGAAATCTTTTGATTTACACGAATTTTGGCATAGCGTACTGAATTAAGACTAGAATGATGTGTGCAAATTTTCATGGAAATCGGTTCAGATTCTTATATATCTTTCGTTCAATTTCATACGTTTGTTAGGCTCAGTCCGACTTTACAACTTTCCTTACTGGTTTTTCATTAAAAAATCCACCAAACATTTTTTTTTTCAATAAAAAATACCCTTTTCACCTTTTCATTTATTTTAATCCTTTATTGAATCAACATTACGTCAATTTCTCCTCCTCGCACACTCATTCTTTGCTGATTAACCACATTAATTACATTTCGAATCCAATCAAACAGGGTAGTGCCTTTTTTACCAATTTCCGCATAACCACAGTTGGTTTGTTGGTTGGCTGGTTAAGTAGTAGAGAGTCACTTTAACGAAGAGAAGTGATGAGAAGAAGACGAACGACCAAACCTTATTTAAAAAATCGAACCGAACGAAATCTGTATAAATATTTAATGGTGTTCTTTGTAATCAATTTGTTGCCAAACATTCCAGAGTAAAATTTGTTGATGTCCTTCCCCCCATCCATCCACCCACCCACATATTTAATGGTCATTTGACCTCGATCAACGACGAAAAAAATTGAACGAATGAACGAACTGAAAAAATTGCAAGCAAACGATAAAAATCACTGTCGAGTTTTTATGGCTTCATTGGAAAGTCAGCCAACCATTTAGTGACAGAGGCAAAAAGCCAGCCAGCCAACCAGCCATCGTGTTAGCCAAGTGTAGATGGATGCTGCCATGTCCTCTTTGCCAAAAAAAGAAAGAAGAAAAAAAAATAGTAATGAAAGTAGTAAAGTTGGACTGGACCGACTATATGATACCCTTCACCACTTTGGGAATATTCTATATAGTCTCCTAACAGATGTCGCCTAAAATCGGACGAAAATATATATGGAAGCTATATTTAAAGCTGAACAGATTTTCACGAAGAATAAATTTGGTGCAAATCTAAAGATATATAGGGACTTTGGTGCACCATTTACACTAAATCGGTCGAAAAAATATATGGGAGCTATATCTAAATCTGAACCGATTTTCACGAAACTTACCACACATCATTCTAGGCTTAATTCAGTGTGCTATGCGAAGTGTCGTCCAAATCTAAAGATATATAGGGACTTTGGTGCACCATTTACACTAAATCGGTCGAAAAAATATATGGGAGCTATATATAAATCTGAACCAATTTTTACGAAACTTACCACACATCATTCTAGACTCCATTCAGTATGATGTGTCAAATTTCGTGTAAATCGAAAGATATATAGGGATTTTGGTGCACAATTTTCCTTAAATCGGACGAAAATATATATGGGAGCTATATCTAAATCTAAACCGATTTTCACGAAACTTAACACACATCACTCTAGTCTTAGTTCAGTAGGCTGTGCGAAATTTCGTGCAAATAGGAAGATATATAGGTACTTTGGTACACCATTTACCTCAAATCGGACGAAAAAATATATGGTAGCTATATCTAAATCTGAACCGATTTCCACGAAACTTAACACACATCATTCTAGACTTTAGTCAGTACGCTATGCCAAACTTCGGGCAAATCGAATGATATATAAGGACATTGGTGCACTATTTACATTAAATCGGACGAAAATATATATGGGAGCTATATCTAAATCTGAACCGATTTTAACGAAATTTAACACACATCATTCTAGACATAATTCAGTACGCTATGCCAAATTTCGTGCAAATCGAAAGATATGTAGGCACATTGGTGCACTATTTACCTAAAATCGGACAAAAATATATATGGGTGTCATATCTAAATCTGAACCGATTTTCCCAATTTGAATAAGGTTCGTCCTTAGGCCATATAAATAAGCTTTATCAAATTTCACCCAATTCGCATCGTAAATGCGACCTGTACTTTGTTTACAATTTAACATCTACAGTAGGACAGACGGACGGACATGCATAAATTGACTTAGAAAGTGATTCTATGCATATTCTCAAAAGGAACCATGTGTCTATCTCGTTTCCTTTTGCCTGTTACAAACATATGCACAAAGACATAATACCCTGTACCACAGTGTGTGCAAAAAAATTACCAAAAATCGATTGCAAATGAATACATTTGTATTCTCAGGTGTATGTGTGTGTACATGTGTATGCGGGCACGA